CCCCCCACTATCATGACTCCAATTCTACCTTACAAATCCGGCTAGATCAGAGTACACAGGTACAGATAAGAGCTTACAACACAGGGAATCCAGGACAGATAAACCCCTTAGGACCAATAACGAGAGTAGCGATACCAGGAGAGGAAGGGGAAGGTGGTGGGAGAAAGGAGAAACCAATCACAATGATCAACATATAACCCCCTCCCAGGGGGGTGAACAACAGAAAAGTGGGTGAAGGGAGACATCGGTTGGTGTAAAACATGAAAAACATAATAATTTATAAATTATCAAGGGTTCATAAGGGAGGGAGGGTAGGGGAGGAGAGGACATGAGCTGATACCAAGGGCTCAAGTAGGAAGAAACTGTTGTGAAAATGACGATGGCAACATATGTACAAATGTGCTTGACACAATGGATAGATGGATGGATTGTGATGAGTTGTACTAGCCCCCAATAAAATGATTTTTTTAAAAGAAGAAGAAATATGGTGTTGGCAAAGAATATTGAAAGTACCATGGAATGACAAAAGAACAAGCGAATCGAACAGATCCGGATGAGAGACCTTGGAGGTGACAGGGGCTGAGGCAGCAGGGTCCAGCCCAGCCAGAAGCAATCAAGTAAAGATAGATCTTGCAGAGGGCAATCATCATCTTCTGAGCCACCTGTCTTCAATGAGGCAAGAGTCGGCTGTGGTGGCCTGGAGATATATACTGCTACTTCTCTCAATCCTGGAGGTTTGGGGTAATCTGGGAGTTCAAGTGTTTTGGGAAATGACTTCCCAAGAGAAGACAGAGAATACTCTTTTATGGATATATTTAATGAAGAAGAAGCTGAAAAACACTTTTTGCTGTCCAAACCTGTTTGCTTTCTAATATTTGGAAAGCCAGGGGCTGAGAAGACAACATTAGCTCATCATATAGCACAGGCATGGAAATAACATTTGTGTCGAAGCGGCATTGATTTTGGAAGAACATATTGCAGCTAAAACCCTAACAGGAGCTGTGTTGCAAGCGATACTGCTCAGTGGTCAAAGTGTCCCAGATGAACTGATCATAAAGCTCGTGTAGGAAAAGCTCAACACACTACAAGTCGCTCACTTTGGTTATATTATCACTGAAATACCATCATTTTCACAGGATTCTATAAGTACTTTAGACCAAGTGGAATTAATTAAAAACTTAAACTTGAAACCTGATATTTTAATCAATGTTTAATTGCCCCGACTATGATTTATGCCAAAGGATTTCTGGGCAAAGACAGCATAGTACTACCGAGTACTTATACCCAAGAGATCAGTGGAATCCTTAACTCATGGAAAGTCGCAGAAAAAAGAAGAAAAAACCCCAAATGAAGGGAAAGAAGAAGAAAAGGAAGAAGAGCAAGAAGAAGAAGAGACATTTATTGCTCAAGTGCAGTTGATGGCAGAAATTCCCCAACATCTAGCTCCGAGGCCTGAGGAGTTCTTGGAAAATATTGAAGGCATTATTCAACTTTATAAGGAGACGATTCTTCATCTTACCAAAGTCCTTTCTACGAGGTCAGGGGCCAGCTCCTATGTTAGCCTCACCGAGGCCCAGTCCAGTGGAGCCAGAACCAAAGACCCACTGCCACCCAGCCGATTCTGACTCACGGTGACCCTCTAGGGCAGCGGTTCTCAACCTGTGGGTCGCAACCCCTTTGGGGGTTGAACGACCCTTTCACAGGGGTCACCTAAGACCATTGGAAAACACCTATTTCTGATGGTCTTAGGAACCGAGACACCACTCCTCTATCTGTCTCCAGGTGGGTCTGCCCTGAGTACCCGGCGTGAAGATTGTTACCCATGCTACACCATGCTTCAAATAAATTTCATTTATTTGTCATTAGAAATAAATATTTCACAATGTATACTTAAAAAAAAGTGAATCTATCTAACACGAAGTACAGCCAAAATGCTCCTTAGCAGCAAGGATGGCAACACTTTACCTCACCTACTTAGGAGATGTTCTCAGGAGAAACCAATTCCTGGGAAGTGCTCAGCCAAGTTGAGGATGGGGCAAAATAGGAAAACGCCCAACTGGTTGCCCTGACACAGAGGTGAAACGTGGCCTCAATCAGTACAGTTGTGAAGATGGTGCAGGGGTGGGCAGGGGTCGTTCTGTTGCTCATAGGGCTGCTATGGAGGAGGTGCTGCCTCGCACCCACTTTATGCCAACAGCTCTCACTGCCACTCCATGCCATCCAGTAAATGCCGACTCATAGCGACCCTATAGGACAGGGGAGAACCGCTCTGTGGGTTTCCCAGGCTGTAACTTTTTGGGAATAGAAAGCTTCATCCTTCTCCTGCTGACTTTGTGGTTAGCAGCCCAATGCATAATCCATTCGATGGCGCCGAGTATGGTGGGTGGCTGAAGTAGTTCCCAAAACATACTGCCTCGTCTTCTGCAGAGCGAGTGGCTGGATGCCTGGCTGGTTGGCCACCATTATTTGAGTTACGAGCCAACCCCTTCACCGCTGGGCCACCCGTGTGCTCCAGAGGAGTAAAGGAGTAGCATTGGGTGAAGACTGATTTGTTAGTGGTTTGGTACTCTCACTCAACGCGCCGGTGAAATGGGCAAGAACTGACCAACAAACTGACCAACCCACTTGGCAAGAGAAATAGAACCCATTTAAACACGTCAGCATTCTGTCCACCACGAGAAGTTCCCTTCTCAGTGGAGGCCGTTTCAGTCCATTATTCCCCGTTTTAACCCACTGCCCCTAAAAGGCAAACACTAAACGAGCTTCTCAACTTCGAACCACGTAACAAACTTGCAGAATAGGTCTTAACGTTAGCGTCACTGTCGCTCCAAGCACAGGGGGGAAAGCAGGGCTGTGGCTGGGGATGTCAGCCAGCGCCCTGGGCCACATCCTTAATCAAATGTCCACTTCTTGGTTTAACAGGAGGGGTCCTAAGGGCCACGGGAGCCGCCAACCAGGCCGCGAGGCCGACCCCGCCGGGCTGAGTCACCCCTGGGAGCTTCGCTGGTCAAAGGCGCCTGATGGAAAAACTGTCGCGTTTGGATTTCCCCGCCTGCCGAGGTCTCGCGAGACCCTGGACGGGCCCGGCTGGCCCCGCGCGGAGGTCGCCGAGCTCAGAGATCCGTGGGGCAGGCACCCGCGCAGGACCGAGGACACCCTCGCCGCCC